GGATTGGGTCCCACATCAGGCTGCCTGCGTTGAGCCTGCTTCTCCCTCTGCCTAGGTCTCTGCCTCTTTCTCTCTGTGTCTCTCATGAATAAATAAAAAAAAAGCTTTAAAAAAAATAATAAATGCTCTTTGAAGTCCTCAATGTTTTGGGGTTTGGTGTTTTTCTTTTGTTCTTTTTACAAGTAAAAGAGGGTCCTGAGATCAAAATTTTGTATAATTTTTGTTCCAAACAATCTAGCCCTCATTGCCACATTACACAACCTTCCTTTACTGTCTGGACTCCTCAATGAAACTAATAAGGAAAATTATAATTTAATCTTTCCCCTTTTTTCTTGTGTATATTACCTTCAGGGGCATACTTTTAGAAGATAGTTGTGATTCACTTATGTATCACGATCTCAGGGTCCTGGATCCAGCTTTGCCTCAGGCTCCATGCTCAGCAGGGAGTCTGCTTGTGGTTCTCTCTCTGCTCCACACCCCCATCTTAGCTCATACTTGTGTATGTGCTCTCATAAATAAATAAATAAATAAATAAATAAGTAAGTAAGTAAATACTTTTAAAGGGGATCCCTGGGTGGCGCAGCGGTTTAGCGCCTGCCTTTGGCCCAGGGTGCAATCCTGGAGACCCGGGATCGAGTCCCACGTCAGGCTCCCGGTGCATGGAGCCTGCTTCTCCCTCTGCCTATGTCTCTGCCTCTCTCTCTCTCTCTCTCTCTCTCTCTGTGACTATCATAAATAAATAAAAAATAAATTTAAAAAAAAGAGAATATTAAAAAAAATACTTTTAAAAACCTAACAGGTGGTCAAAAATATTTGACTTTTAAACTCCCAAGATTAAATTTATTTTTTAAAAAAGAACGGATATCCCCCAACCCTCCCTTTTTAAAAAGATACTAAGTAATCTCTACACCCAACACCTCAACCCCAAGATCAAGAGTCTGCATGCTCCTCAGACTAAACTAGCCAGGTGCCCCAAGAATTGATCTCCTTTTGATGCCAGAATATAACCCTAAATTATTTTGCTAATAAACATTTTCTAACTATTAGCTTATATGTCAGACTATTATGAAAATTAATATACAATCTAATTTTTCTGTTTTCCACATTCTGTGCTCAAACAGCACTTAAAATTTTTTCAGATGTTTTTACATATATTTCATTCTTACAGTAAATAAAGTATGTTAAGTAGTTAGGGTAGAGGTCTACATCCTAATTTTACAAACAAAAAAGGTAACATTCAGAGGTCTGAATAGAGGCACCCTATAAAATATTTCCATTAAGCAGCAGCTAGAAGGAAAAATCACAACTTCTGGTTCTCCTTCAATATCCTATACCAGGTTACCTAAACCCCTTTAAGATGAACTTCCCTTGGGCAGCCCCGGTGGCGCAGAGGTTTAGCGCTGCCTGCAGCCTAGGGCGGGATCCTGGAGACCGTGGACCTAGTCCCACATCAGGCTTTCTGCATGGAGCCTGCTTCTCCCTCTGCCTGTGTCTCTGCCTCTCTCTCTTGCTCTCTCTCTGTGTCTCTATGAATAATCTTTAAAAAAAAAAAAAAGATGAACTTCCCTGGTATTTTTTTCTGCATAAGGAAAAGTTTTCTGCATTTTTTCCTTATACAGAAAAAAATACATTCATTTTTAATGTTTCAATTTTAATTAATTTGCTGTAACTATTTTAAACCATATTCAGAAATACGTTATAGAGGGGATGCCTGGGTGGCTCAGCGGTTGAGCATCTGCCTTTGGCTCAGGGCATGATCTCAGGGTCCAGGGATTTAGTCCCGCATCAGGCTCCCTGTGGGGAACCTGCTTCTCCCTCTGCCTATGTCTGTCTCTCTCTGTATCTCTCATGAATAAATAAATAAAATCTTTAAAATAAATAAATTCCTAAAACATAGATCCTCATAGCCTAGTCTCAATTTTCTGTGTTACATATGGTTTCATAATGCATCTCCAGTTTTTCTCAATCATGACTTCCTTTTCCAGCTTTTTATACCAGTGAAAATACAACACTGCAAAGAAGAGAAAAACAATAGCTTCTTCCAAGTCTTTCTCCAGCTCCTTGGTCTAAGGGCCTATTTTCTCTAACAACAGGAAGAAAATATGCAAACTTTTTCTTGAATTTGACTCTCTTCTGAACTCTATCAAGCATCTATATGACAGTGACAAACAAAAACATTTCAGCCTAAAATTCTTAACAGCCTTACTCCTATAATAATATCAGATACCAACAGCTTGTAAGTACCAGTATCTCTAAAACTACAGTATTTAAACACAAAATAAACTAGCTCCATTACAAATCCTATAAAAGGACTTAAAATATATTTTTGCTCAAATTTTTAACATTTCATAAACCATTAGGAATCCATATTCCAGGGCACCTGGGTAGATCAGTGGTTGAGTGTCTGCCTTTGGCTCAGGTTGTGATCCTGTGGTCCTGGGATCGAGTTCTGCATCAGGCTCCTCACAGGGAACCTGCTTCTCCCTCTTCCTATGTCTCTGCCTTATCTCTCTCTCTCTCTCTCTCTCTCATGAATAAATACACAAAGATCTTAAAAAAAAAGAAAGAAAGAATCCATATGCCTTCTTTAATCAAACAACGACACAAAAGATGAACTCTCATTTATTCATTAACTATTGAGGGCTTGCTATGTGTGAGCACATGCAAAGACAAGTGACAGTCTCCAAGTGAAATTCCAATAATCATACATTACAGGTACTAGCAGAAAGTGGTACTAGCACAAAGTATTTACACGTGGATTTTTCTAAAACTCTGGAAACATTTCCCTACTCCACCTGTACTCCAAAAGTTTTTATTATAATGAAAAAATTGGGCTCAAACACCATTTGTTTACTAGCCTCCCCAAAAAAAATCCATTATGAGATGTTATGAAATAAATTATATTTGAAAAGTCTTTTAATTTATCCAAAATGCAAAAAAAAAAAAAAATTTATCCAAAATGCCCAAGATACAATGATCATATAACTGCAAAATTTCATCAATAAATGACTCATAAAATTTGTCAAAAAGCCAGTAATTTAACCAAGATGTTACAGGGGTACCAAAGAATCATTTTGGTGCATTACTCTCAACAATAAAAGAGAGAGTGAAGTAAGTCCAACAGGAGGAGAAGATATCTTACTGTTCCTACATCTTTTGGAGTGTGGCAACAGAATAGAAGAAAAAAAATCCTGCTGGGACAAAGGTATCTAACTGCATAGGACCGTTTAAAACACAAGGAAATAAAAGATGAAATTACAAAGTAACAAATCTAGTGGCCATGGAAATAATGACATAAATCAAGAATTTTAAAAAGGATATGGGTGAGCAGGATAATGAATTTGTTTTTATGCACTACAGTTGAGACACAGTAGAATGTCTAAGTGGATAATCTTGGAGCCAACTGAAAACTGTGGCTCATGGAAAGATCTGACCTAAAAAGAGATCTGGAAATTACTAATAAATTGAGATTAGTTTAGGGCACCTATTATTTTGTCCCCAAGTAACATAACAAGGCCTAATTACCAAAAATATAGAAAAGGAGATATTTAATATCCAGTTAAAGTATGCTAAATTTCAAGTAAAATAATGTTTCTTACCTACTGTTTTCCACAGCCTTCATAGCATATTCAACTTGAAAAACTCTCCCATCAGGAGAGAATGTAGAGGCTGACAGGTCATACTAGGAGGAAAAAGGCAACAATAAGCTTAAATTATGTATCTTTGGCAGTAATAACCTCATCACCTTTCTTTCTAAATGGTTTACACATCAGAAATGCGTGTTAAAGGGTGCCTGGTTGGCTCAGTTGGTAGAGCATGAGGCTCTTGGTCTCAGGATTGTGAATTTGATTCCCACACTAGGTGGAGGGAGGGAGGAAGGGAAGGAGGGGGGAGGAATGTGTGCTAAATCTCAAAGATTTTGCTTTGAGGAGAAAAAGGATGCATGTCAGAGCAGCAACAGCAGCTAAGAGAAAGGCTACTTTAGATCTTGCCTACTGAAAAGCAATAGAGAAGTGCCTGGCTGGCTTGGCTCAGTAGACCATGCAACTCTTCATCTTGGGGTTGTGAGTTCTAGCTCCACGTTGGTGTTAAGAGAACTTAAAATCTAAAAAGAAAAATAACAGATACAAGTCCAGGTAAAGTAAGAATTTTTTTTCCAAAAAAAAAAAAAAAGAATTTTTTTTCCACACAGAACACAAAGTTCATTTTTGTACAAAATAGAGATAATCTGGGTTCCATACCACCACAATAAAGTTAATACCACAATAATGTGAATAATATTATTTTTTTTACTCCTAGTGCATATTTACTTTTTTATTTTTTGTTTTGGGTTTTTTTTTTTTTTGAGAGAGAAAAAGCAAGCCAAGAGAGGGGCAGAGGAAGAGAGAGAAAGAATCTCAAGCAGGCTCCATACTCAACCCAGAGTCCAACACAGGACTCAATCTCAGGACCAGTTATCATGAACTGAGCCAAAATCAAGTCAGACACTTCACCAACTGAGCCACCCAAAAGCCCCTAAAGTTAGGTTTACAGGGTACTATAGTCTACTCATTGTGCAGTAGCATTATGTCTTAAAAAAAGGGGGGGGGGGTATATACCTTAATTTTAAAAATACTGCTAAAAAAAAAAAAAGCTAAATATCATCTGAGCTTTCACTGAGTGGCAATCATTGATCACAGACCACCATAACAAACTTAATAATAATGAAAAAGTTTGAAATATTATGAGAATTACCAAAATATACATAAGGAATTACCAAAATGTTCACAGACATAAGGTGAACAAAAGTTGTTGGAAAAATGGCACTAACAGACTTGCTTGATGCACAGTTGCTACAAAACCTTCAATTTTAAAAAGAAAAAAAAAGCAGTATCTGTGAAGTGCAATAAAACAAGGTATGCCTATAGCATGGTATGGTAGAAAAAGAATGGGAGTCAGAACAGGTTAATTCATTGCTGTAGCACTAACTGAAGGACATTAGACAAAGAATATAGCATTCGGTGCTTGCTTTGGCAGCACATATACTAAAATTGAGACGATACAGAGAAGATTAGCATGGCCCCTGGGCAAGGATGACATGCAAATTTGTGAAGAGTTCCATATTAAAAAATATATATATAGCATTCAAATATTTAATAAGCATCTTCTACATGTAGTCACTATAAGGGAATATAAGAAATACTCATTCTTGAAGTCTTTAATTTCCAAATAGACCAGGTGCAAATCTAGGTGATGGAAATACAGCAGTAAACCAGAAAAAGGATTATGATGAATCTAAGACGTGGTGAACTGACAGTCTGAGAGCCTAGTACAGACTACATGATCAGGGAAGGCCTTGCTAGAGCAGTTATATTTAATGACTTAGGCTGTAGCCAGACCTAAATAACAAGTAACTAGACATTTAGGATATGGGGGGGTAGAAATAAGCCTAGTACAATGAGGGAACAGAAATAGGCCACTGTGTCTTGAACACTAAGTGGTAGTGAGAAAAGTAAATCACATCAGACCAATGTAGAAGATTTGTACATGTAAAGATGTTCATGTAAAGACCAAACTATTTTGAGTCTCCTAGGCTAAAGTAGGAAGTTTATATCTTATTCTCAATTCAACTGAGAATCATTGAAGTCTAAACAGGGATGGGGGGTGGGGAGCATAATACAATCTACTTTTCTTTTTAAACTTCATCTATAGGGAATCCCTGGGTGGCTCAGCGGTTTAGCATCTGCCTTCCACCCAGGGCATGATCCTGAAGACCTGGGATCGGGTCCCATGTCAGGCTCCCTGCATGGAGCCTGCTTTTCCTCTGCCTGTGTCTCTGTCTCTCTCTGTGTCTTTCATGAATAAATAAATAAAATCTTTAAAAAAATAAAACAAAAAAAACTTCATCTATAAAACAAATTGTAGAGGGAACAAGGATGGAAGCAGAGATTAAGTATTCCAAAGGTGGTGATTTACACAGGGAAGATATAAAAACAGTATTTTTGAGGGTAGAATAAAACAAAACAGAAAACACGTTGCTGCTAATGGCCTGGCTCTAGGAGTAAAGAAATTCAACGTGAATCACAGACCTTTTTCACTTGAGCAATTAGAAATGGACCATTCACTGAGCTGAAAATTGTAGGAGATGCAAAATGGCACGGAGAGAAGGAAATGCAGACCTCTACTTTGGACATGTAGTTTTGAAATGCCTATCAAGCAATCTAGTGGAGAGAAATGTCAAGTACAGGTCTTCATACCTGGAGTTCTTGGGAGAAGTGAAAACCAAAGATATGCCTTCAACAGTGGTGCTTCTTTAGTATCAATTTCCTGATTTATTAAATGAGGATTCTTAACTTTGCTATTGTAATACTAAAATATCTCACTTGTTTATATTTATCAAGTATTTTTAAAGGGTTTTCAGAATGAAACACTATCAATTGAAGGTAATATTAATGTACTTACTAAGCCAATTTGCTACAACATGCATAACTGAGCATCCACCAATTCAAAAATGTTATGACAAACTTAGCATCTCATAACCTAATGAATTAAACCGTTCCAAGCATAAATCTCCTATTATCAAACTCGGAACACCAATATCTTGGCTAATGCTGAGAATCAAAATCTTGTTTAAATTAGGAACTGGTAAATTTAGAAAGCCATTATTCAATGCCTTTAGTGCACACGACCAATAAATACTTTTAAACAAAAACTAGATTTTCGGGGATCCCTGGGTGGCTCAGCGGTTTAGCGCCTGCCTTTGGCCCAGGGCGCAATCCTGGAGTCCCAGGATCGAGTCCCGCGTCGGGCTCCCAGCGTGGAGCCCTCTTCTCCTTCTGCCTGTGTCTCTGCCTTTCTCTCTCTCTATGTCTATCATGAATGAATAAGTAAATAAATCTTAAAAAAAAAAAAAACTAGATTTTCTATATGGAGAACTATCCATAAAAGCAAGAAGCAAAAGACTGCATATGTGAAGTACATTTAACACAGCAAAACACTCAACTGAACAAGTTAACAAGTTCAACTCCAAAATCCTCGACGGGCGCCCGGGTGGCTCAGCGGTTGAGCATCTGCCTTCAGCCCAGGGCGTGATCCTGGAGTCCCGGGATCCAATCCCACATCGGGCTCCCTTCTTGGAGCCTGCTTCTCCCTCTGTTTGCGTCTCTGCCTCTCTCTCTCTCTCCCCCTCTCTCTCCATGTCTCTCATAAATAAGATCTTTAGAAAAAAAAAAAAATCCTCGAGTCTATTCACAGAAGCGGTTAAGTCCCTAAATAACGATTTGAATGTTTGCGGTACTGACATCTCGAAGTGATGTTAAGTAATTTGTACAGGAAGAGCTGGGACAGAAGAAAAGCGTGAAGGGCTCTTGTGATTGCACTTTTCAGGGACCCCTGGTGGCTCAGCAGTTGAGCGTCTGCCTTTGGCTCAGGGCGTGATCCAAATTCAAACATCGAGTCCCACATCAGGCTTCCTGCATGGAGCCTGCTTCTCCCTCTGCCTATGTCTCTACCTCTCTCTGTGTCTCACATGAATAAATAAATAAAATCTTAAAAAAAAAAAAAGAGATTGCACTTTCCAGACAATGTTTCTATCAGCTCTGCCCCGAAAGGGGTTGCATGGACTCCTACTGAGCGGGCCATCAGGGCGCTCGAAGGCAAGATGGGGAAGGCCCGTGAGTCAGCAGCACCCCAGGACCTACAAGAACGGTCCACGGAAAGCTCCGTCTCAGACCTCCGTGGTTCCCAAGGAGCGAATTGTCGCCCAAACCCTTCACACGCTACTTCGGGCTCCACAAGTTTCCACTTTCGGTTTCCCTAAGCAGCCAAAGGAGGTGACTCAGCGACCCAAAGCGCCCCCCAGCCCACAGCTGCGCCGCCAAGGCCGCACACCTGAGCGGAACAGCTTCGGGTCTCGATCGCCGCCCGCGCGGGCCTGCAGATGTAGCGCGGGAGACCGCGGGTCCCCAGACGACTGGGAGCGGCCTACTGGGCCGAAGGCCGTCCCGGCGCACCCCGAGGCGGCGCACCCCGAGGCGGCGCACCCCAAGCCGTCTGTCCCAGGCCCCGTCAACGCTAATCTCTAGGCCAGTCAGTCCATTACGCCAAAGGATAGCAAACTCACCCCGGTGCCGATAGAGCTCATGGTGCACAAACGTCCCGGACACCACCGCCGCCTTCCAAGGCCTAAAGCCCTCCCCCAACACGGCCGCCCGCGGACTAGTAACAGGCTCTCTCACTGGCTGACCTTTCAGCCAATAGCCTTCTCCTCTGCGGCCCTTTCCTTCGAGTCGGCCCGAGGAGCAGAGGATTGTGGGGGAAGCGGGGGCGGGGGGAAGCGAGCGAGACGGGCAGTGCGCGTGCGCAGAAGCCAAAGTGCTGGAGCGAGGGCGAGGTGGAGGGCTGGCTGCCTTCCTCTTCGACTTGTGCGTTTCTGCGTCCCCGAGCCTCTCCTCCCACTTCCTAGAGATTATTTACCTTTTATATTATCCCCTTCTTTCGCTACTTTATCCTTTCTTAAAGCAAAACGGAGAGACGTTAACACTCCTCCGAAGACCAGAGAAAGAGATAAGGGAGAGGTCTCCCCTCACTCGGGAGTCCTGGTTGCGACCCCGCATCTTGAGAGCATCCCCTTCCCCCACCTGTTCTCGCTAGAAGGAAGGAAGCTGCACGCTAAAGTGCACGTCTGAGCTCAGGTCCGAATTTTGCAGAAGCATTAATACCTTTCCTATGAGTTTCACTCTATTTAGAATTAAAGATAAGACTGGTTGTGATTATCCCTTGAGCTCTAACATGTCCCAAGTACTCTGTTGAACACTGCTGATAAAACGGTGAAGGAAACATAACCCCATCCCTCATGGAGTTCACACTCAATGGGAAGAAATGGACAAAAAAGAGTAAATAGGCAAAATAGTTGCACCTTGTAGTTAGAAGGGAAAAGAGACAATGGAGGTTTGAACTTTAGGCCTGGTACTTAGGGAATGAGTTTCTGATTACCTAATATTAAACTGATTGTTATAGGAAAATTAGCTTGTTATATAGGAACTTGTCTGGTCAGTCTGGCCTGTGATGGTGATTAAGTGGTTGAGGTGACTGGAGGTGATATCAGAGCTGACATCGTGCTCATCGATGGATTTTAATCTGGTTGTAGATAGAAGGCCATCAACATTTTTTTAAACTATTAAATACTTAAGTGTATGTTTGTATATTTCCCCCCCAAATAAGAACATTTTACATGTCCACAATACAATTATGAAAATTAGAAAATTTAACAATACTATTTTCTAATCTACACACTTTATTTGGACTTTGGCAATTCTCTCAATTCCTTTCATAGCAAAAGAAAATCCAAGGTCACCCGTTGCATTCAGTTGTCATGACTCTAGCCTCCTTTAAGCTGGGGAATCGTTGCTAAATATTTCTTTAGGTTTCATGGCATAAACATTTTTGAAGAATACAAACCATTTATTTTATGGGATATTGCTCAGTTTAGGTTGGTAAGATATTTTTTCGTGATAGGATTCAAGTGATACATTTTTGGCAGGAATGCCTCAAAAGTAACCTTGCATTCATATTAGAGCGTTATATTAGGAGGTACATGACACCAATTTGTTCCATAACTGATGATGTTAACTTTGAGCATTTGCTTAAGATTTATCCACCATAAAGTTTCTATTTTGGCCTTTGTAATTAATGTCTTGTGACGAAATACTTTGAGACTCTCCTTATACATATCCTTAATCTTTCATCTGCTAATTATAGTATCTGATGATTTCCATTTGAGTGGATTATTAATATGATGCTTGCCAAATGGTTATTTCCTAATTCCATCATTCTCTCCATGTATATTATTGGCTTTCTACTTCAGGTCATCAGCTGTTTTTAAAGCAGGGGAATTATATGATCTAATTTAAATTAGGGACACCTGGGTGGCTCAGTGGTTGAGAGTCAGCCTTTGGCTCAGGTGGTGATCCCAGGGTCCTGAGATCAAGTCCCACATCCACCCCCTTCCCCAGCCTGGCAGGGAGCCTGCTTCTCCTCTGCCTATTTCTCTGCTTCTCTCTGTGTCTCTCATGAATAAATAAAATCTCACAAAAATAAGTTATTAAGTGATCTCTCTTGCTTCAGTGT